CGCCGCAGAAACTCGGCCCAATGAAGCTCAAATATCAGCTTCGCAACAGTTGGCTTGGGACGTTTTGGAAGAGCAAGAGAATGCCCTCGCCGATCCACCGCGAACTCCGGAACGTGTCGAGCCGACCACGGACGAGGTCGACCTACTAGCGAACCTGACCTCCACACAGCCCACTGGCACTGGTGAACACGCGGACGGCCCAGAGCAAGTCCCCAGCACCGCAGCTACCGTACTGCCAGATTTCCTACCAACGGAAAGGACACACTTCAGCCTCGGCGAGCTGACTTCAGAGCAGACACTGACCATGGTAGCGGAAGTCTACGACAAAGCCGTCCACTACCGGCCGAACGCTTTCCTAGTGCCGCATGGGAGAACGGGGCGGGAGTTTATCGCGCAGCTGAGCAGATATTTGGAATGCTTTGGGCAGCATGGCGCCTACGCGGAATGTGCCCTGAAGATAGCTATGGTCTATCAGCTCCTACTTCTGCAGAAGCCGTTTGGCAACCCCTCCTCTTCTACCGCAACTTGCTTGCAACGCAGGATGGATCTGTGGAAAGAGGGGAAGCTGAAGGAGCTTCTGCACGAGTGCCAAACTATCCATGACCAACTCAACAAGCACCAGCAACAACAGAGCCGAAGGCAGCCGGACCCAGCACAGCAGTTTGCATCTCTAGTAACTAAGGGCAAGCTTCATGCCGCATTGGACCAACTGAGCAGTGGAGATTCAGGAGGAATGCTGCACCTGGACGAAAGAATTGGTGAGAGGACAGTCCTCGATATCCTCAAGGACAAGCATCCGGAGGCTGCGCCGCCACACGCCCAAGCGGTGATGCGTGGTGTCCCGCCTACCCCACCCCATCCCATCCAATTCGAGGCACTAACACGACAAGTGGTGCTACGGGCAGCGCTCAATACCCATGGTGCTGCAGGTCCCTCGGGAGTCGCCGCCGACAACTGGCGACGCATGTGTTCAGGTTTCGCCGACATCTCCGATCAGCTGTGCGACGCGATTGCAGCATGTGCACGACGGCTAGCAACGACCTATGTCCATCCATCAAGCCTGGAGGCCTACGTCGCCTGTCGCCTGATTCCCCTTGATAAGAAGCCAGGCGTGCGGCCCATCGGCATAGGTGAGGTCCTTCGCCGGATCATGGGGAAAGCCATCCTCTCCATCACGAATGACGAAATTCAACGTGCAGCCGGAAGTCTCCAACTATGTGCTGGCCAAGACGGAGGTGTGGAAGCAGCCATTCACGCCATGAATGACCTCCATCAGCTGGATGACACGGAAGCAATCCTACTGGCTGATGCAACTAATGCGTTCAATTGTCTGAACAGAGAAGTATGCATGCGGAACATCCAACACACCTGCCCGTCCTTAGCTCCGACAGTCATCAACACATACAGAGAGCCGGCCAATCTGTTCGTGAGCGGTGAGTGTATCAAGTCCAGCGAAGGTACCACCCAAGGCGACCCGGTCGCTATGGCGATGTACGCTCTCGGTGTTCTCCCCCTCATCGAAGAAGCAGCAACAGACGGTGCCACGCAGTCTTGGTTTGCGGATGATTCTGCCGCAGGAGGCAAGTTGCAAGCAGTACGAATCTGGTGGGATCGCCTCAACGAGAGTGGTCCATCATACGGCTATTTCCTCAACCCGACCAAGTCTGTCCTCCTTGTCAAGCCACAGTTTCTGGATGAGGCCACCAGCATATTTGCTGGAACTGGAATTGACATCCGCACAGATGGATGTCGGCATCTGGGAGCCGCGCTTGGCTCAGCAGAATTCTCCCGCTGCTTTATGGAGCGCAAGGTTCAATCCTGGGTAGAGGAGGTGATGTCGCTCAGCACTATTGCTTCGTCACAGCCCCAAGCTGCATATGCAGCGTTTGTTCACGGCCTGCGAAGCAAATGGTCCTTCCTGTCTCGAGTCATGGCTGACCTACATTTGTACATGCAGCCGTTGGAGGATTCCATCAGAAACAAGTTCATCCCCGCTCTCTTAGGTGGCAGAACCGTCAACGATGATGAGCGACAGCTTCTGGCTCTGCCTTGTCGACATGGTGGTCTGGGGCTCATCACACCTGCCTCCCTCGGGGCCCAGTACGCCCACTCCAAGACCATCGTTGGCCCCCTGGTGCGGCGCATTCAGCAGCAGACTGCCACGCTTGGCGATGCCCTGCAGGAAGTGCGGAAGAACAAGCAGCTGTTGAGGGCGAAGGCAAAGACATCACTCCAAGCCGAGGCCGTCGCTCTGCATTCTGCCGCACCTCCAGAGGTTCAACGTACCATCGACCTTGCTTCGGAGCGGGGGGCATCCAGCTGGCTCACCTGCCGGGCCCTAAAGGCCCACGGCTTCACCCTCACGAAGGCTGAGTTCCGCGATGCTGTGCACCTCCGGTATGGCTGGCACCCAGTACGACTGCCAACATCATGTTCCTGTGGACAGCAGTTCACCGTCAGCCATGCCCTCTCCTGCCCGTTAGGCGGTTTCCCAACCCTCCGCCACAACGAGGTACGCGATGTGACAGCTCGCCTTGCGAAGCGTGTTGGCCACCAGGTGGCTATTGAGCCACATTTGCAGCCACTCACTGGAGAGCAGCTCCGGTACCGTACTGCTGTGGGCGACGACCAAGCCCGCCTTGACGTGGTGGCTAGTGGTATTTGGGGAGGGCGGTTCGAGCGCACCTACATTGATGTCCGGGTGTTTAACCCTTTTGCGTCCTCGAATCGCCTCAACTCACTTGCTGCTAGCTACACCCGTCACGAAAAAGCCAAGCGCCGTGCCTATGAGCAGAGAATCCGAGAAGTGGAACACTCCAGCTTTGTTCCCGCCGTGTTCTCCACTACGGGAGGCATGGGGAAATCTGCCACCTCTCTGTACAAGAGGATAGCGTCCCTCATCGCCGACAAGACCGGAGCGGCCTACAGTGCCGTGATGGCTTCGATCCGGTGTCAAATCAGCTTTGCCTTGGTCCGATCCAGTGTGATGTGCCTGAGGGGTGCTAGGCAGCTCTATGCACCGGTCTTTGCCGCGGACTCAGCTGCTCTTGTTGTTGCCGAGGCGGCTATCCCCTGTTGAGGTTGATGGCCGTGCTCATTTATACCATGTTCTCATAATTTCTGCTTTTCGTGTCATTCTTGCTTCTTGTGTTTGTTTGTTCTCCTCTAGTTCTCTTATGTTCGCGGAGAAGGCGGAGAGCCGGAACACAGAACCTCTTATTTTTAATTTTTTTTAATTACTTACTTTTTTACCAGGCGTGGGCCATCCCCTGATCATAGGTGCCAAACATTTTTAGTATAATTACTCAATCAATAAATTTGTACAAGTTGTAAAAAAAAAAAAAAGAAAAAGAAAAAAAGAAGTGGACTTTTGGCGGCATATCAGTATTTGACCCGGGTCAACTGTCTTCATGTAAACGCTCACCTCTTTTGTCTGTCAACCCGGGCTGAACTCGACCCGGGTTGAAATTTCTCATGTAAACACAGCCTAATTATCCAAACATGAACCCACAACACAATATGTATGTCAAAATGCTCTCATGGTCACGCAGAGTTGCGCTATGGACCTTTTGTAGACCCAGATTTCGCGGATACTGAACTGACCGGCACAGCCTGCTCATGCAAACTGAACTGACCAGTACAATGTACAGACTCAGTGAACTTCGAATTACACTTTGGCTGCATTCGATTAAGTCAAGCGGCCCAAACTTCAAAAAAAATTCCGTCAGTCTCAAACATGAAGACGAAGAACTGTTTGTTTTGACAACATGTTAGTGTTACTCAGTTGATTCAATGTCTAATTCCCCGAAGTATTTCTGAACTGTACGACAACTGCTTCGCAGTACTTTCCGTTTTAGTAAATAATCAATGTTCTCTTCGTTCAAGTAATTTATTTGCGTAGTGACGGACTTTTGAATCGTTATCAGACTTAATTTCTTTTGAATCTTGGTCTGTTGCGGACTGTGCACTGTTTCTGTACATCAGTAGTATACGCTAGCGTTGTACATCTTGTATGATGAATTTGTACTTATATGTAGGACTCAGTAGCCCAGCAATCCTCTATATGTGGTCATTGCTCTATATATGGTCAAATTGTTCAAAGGTCGCTATACATGGTCACTCTATATTTGGTCATATGCAATGACTATGTGTCTTGTATAAAAATGGAAAATAAAATTTCACGGTTCGCGTGAGACTCGGCTGGAAGCCCAGTTTTCCGCATCCGTCATCATGGTCATGGGAACGCCACCACCCTCTAGGATCAAAGGTGCAGATGCAGCGCCTAAACGGTGGGAGGTGAGTAGATCAGACCCACCACCAAGTGGTCAAAGACCGAAATCCCATTAGCTGCATCCATGTTACCCTCGTGCCAGGCCACAAGTTCCCAAATAACTGTGGGTCGCAGCACGGCTGGAAAAATTCCTTCCGCTTCCAAGCAGGACTTGAACCTGGTACCCTCTGTTTCTCAATCATGGTCTTAGACCAACCCACTATGCCTGCCTGCTTGTCTATATTTTTTATTCATTTTTTTTTTACAAAAAACCACACACCATTTATTATTATTATTCTTTATTTCCACGATGGCCCATGGCCAATAAGGAAGATAATATGATTCAAATCAGTCCAGAATCATTTGACGGCACAAAGCAGCAGGGCCGCGAAGGGACATATGGAATGGCAGGAGTGGGGGAGAGGCAGGGGCAGCTTGACCGACCATAGGGTCTCGGCTTCATTGCAACCCAAGCGCTCCACAAAAGCAAAAGATTACAGAAAATACGCAGGGGGGGGGGGGGGGGTAGATAACTGGGGATTACGGGGAAAAGTATGCGCAATATGAAGTTATCAGAGAGTCAACGAAGTGAATGGAGGAGGGAACAGAGTTAGAGCTTTTTTTCGTCTTTTTTCTTTGATTCATAGCCTGTCCGTTGCCCACTCCCAGGGCCAGCGGGTAAGGCGCAGGTGGGTGTTGACCTTTTCTTTGAACGTCTGCAGCCCTTTCCTTGTTGGCTGGTTCAGCAGAACGCACTGCGGGAGCTGGTTCCAGACCTCCACAACAGCGTCAGGGAAGGACCGAAGGACATCATTCCGTGCTCTGGGCGGAAGAGTGGAAGTGAGCTGAAACTGGTGTGAGGGATGCTTTTGTGTGCGTCGGCTATGGCGTGATGTGTTGGTCGCTCGGGGTGGAAGAAGGGTGAGAAGCATGTCTGGGCCAGTTGAAAAGTGGAGCTTGTAGAGAAAGCAGAGTGCTCCGACCATTCTGCGGATGTCCAAGCTAGGGAGGTAGGCTCCATCACCGATTAGGTGAAGGCCACGGCGTTGGATGGCAGTGAGGCGAGCCAGAGTGGTGGGTGCAGCGCTCATCCACACGAGCATGCCGTACTCCAAAACCGGGCGGACAAAGCCCTTGTAGATCACTCCACGGCACCTGGAGTCCAGCACTCGTGAGGCTTTCCGGAGGAAGCCGAGACGCTGCGAGCCTCGAATAGCCAATTGCCTGATATGAGCTCTGAAGGACAGGTGTTGGTCAAACAGCACACCCAGCAGCTTCAGCTGGTCGACTTCCGGAACAACTGTGCCCTGGAATACAATCGGTGGGACGACGACTGTGTTGCGATGGTGAGAAACCAGGAGGGACTGAGACTTTGTAGGTTCAAACCTAATGTGCCAGGCCATTCCCCAGTCTGCCAGCGCATTTACAGCGAGCTGGAGTGTGGTAGCATCTTCGGGTACGGCAGTATTGGTCGATATGCACTTGTACAATGTGGTGTCATCAGCATATGCAGCAAGCTGGGCCCCCGAGCAGGTAGATGATCCTCAGCATCATTCGTATAGAGAAGGAATAAAGTCGGGCCCAAGATGCTACCCTGGGGGACGCCTGACATGATGGGGTAAGCAGAGGAGGACTGTCCGCTCACTACAGCCTGGAGCATGCGGTTGGTGAGGTAGCTTCTGAGCCAGGCAAGAAGATGTCCCTGGAGCCCATACCGCTCAGCTTTGTACAGGAGACCCGGGTGCGACACTTTGTCGAATGCCCCAGCAATATCCACTGCGAGGACGCGCACAAGTCCTCCACTGTTGGCAACTCGGCTCCATTCGTGTTGAAGAGCTAGGAGGAGGTCGGTTGCGCCAAGTCCAGAGCGGAAGCCAAATTGGCGAGCAGAGAGAATAGAGTTGCTGTCGAAAAAGTTTGTAATGCTCCGGTTGATTATGGTTTCCATACATTTGGAGATAATGGGAAGAAGGGATATTGGACGGTAATTCTTCACACAAGATCTTGAGCCCTTCTTGTGGACCGGGACAACGTTTTCCACCTTCCAGGCAGATGGCTGGTGGCCTTGTCGGAAGCAGAGAGAGAACAGATGAGCGAGCGGGCGTGCAGGAGAATCCGCACACATCTTAAGCACCCGAGAGGGGACAGAGTCAGGGCCAGTTGCTTTTGACGGGTTGATGGCTTTAAGCACACGCCTCACAGTAGATTGGCGAAAGTGCACTGTTGTTATTCTGTGTAGTGAACGCTGTTTGACATCGGGAAAGGCGGTAGCAACATCACTGAAGTCAGTCTCTAGACTGCATTTTTCAGCAAAGTAGCTTCCCATAATCTCGGCTTTGTCACGATTCTGTGTGTGCTCCTGTCCATCAGAGTCAATAAGAACAGGCATAGTGCTGTCGCGACCACTTCCACCTGCACGCTTAACCACGGACCACCACTCCTTGTTCTGGATGTTTCCCGAGAGCAGTTTATTACGTATTCTCTGGAGGTGATGTTCTTTGGCTCTGGAAAGGCAAGTCGATGAGGTCACACGGGCAAGGCGATATTGCTCCTGTAGTGCAAGGTTGGCCTGGCTGCGACGAAGTGATCGCCATGCATGGCGTTTGGCAGCGACTGCAGCAGAGCACTCGGGGGTCCACCAGACGGGATCAGTGGGCTTCGTCTTGAGAACTTTCGATGGGATGAATCTGGTCATTCCTTTGATGATCCTCTGGGTTACAAGATTGCATGATGTGTCAGGCTCATCAGTAATGATCTCAGTCCAGTCGGTGTCACGGTAGAAGGCTCTCAGACGATCCCAGTCGGCATGCTGATATCGCCATACTGTACGCGCAGTTGGTCTGTCCCGGTGTGGTGTCAACTCGAAGTCCGTGATCACTACAGCATGGTCCGACTGTCCCAGGGGTGGGTACAGTGTACTGATGATATTACCAGGTACGTCTGACATGACGAGGTCGAGGGTATTTCGCCCACGAGTAGCTTCGTGGATGTGTTGGGTGAGGCTGTGTTGGTAGCATAAATCTTCGGCTGTTTCTCCCACCAGTGTGGTGCGCCTACTGCCGAGCCAATTTGTATTGTGTACATTAAAATCACCAGCTACAATGACGCGAGAGCAGGAGCGACGTGCAGCATCAATCCCAGCATCGAGATGGGAGAACAGCCGTATGTCATTGTCTGCACAGGAGCCGGGGCGATATACAGCACATACACCAACCTTTGTGCCCTGTGGTCCAGTTATGCTAATCCAGAGCATTTCCTGGTCGGCACAGTCGATGTCGAGCTGTCTATATGGTAGGCCAGCCTTCACCCAAATTGCAACCCCACCACCATGGGCTGTTCTGTCGCGCCGTATAGCAGGGTGGTAGCCAGGTATGGATGTTTCCACTGGCGTGGCTTTCTCCAGAGTCGGTTTGGTCTCTGTGACAATTGCTAGGTCAACATTATGGTGCATGAGGACGTGCTGGAGCTCGCCAATCTTATTCAGTATGCCAAAGGCATTTGTGAGCATTAGGCGGAGTGGTCGTGTCTCTGTCATTCAAATATTGTCGTCATACTTGGTCCCTTGGCCTGTTGCTCTGGCGAGTGCTGTGCTGTCTGAGAGGGTAGGGTGGCGTGGGAATCACTGTCGTCCTGCTCAGTGGTCGTGTTGTTGGAGGAGTCAGTGGCATACTTGTCAAAGTTCCACAAGCGGGATTACACTGGTTGGGGCCAGAATGCCCGGTTATTTACTAGCTCGACGCTGCTTTTACTGATCACAATCCTAGCAGAGACACGACCATCTTTAGGGAAGGTCTTGCAGGCAAAGACTTCCAGGTCCACATCCGCTCTTCTTGCCCTGTTTATAGCAAACTGGGTCAGTTTAGTGTCAGAAGTGTCAGGCTTCAGGTTCCCCACGAAAAGGACACTCTTCTTTGCTGTCGGCTTTCGACTGGTTAGCACTTGCCAGCTGTCTAGATCTACCACTTCGTCGGTCATTTCGCTGAACTTTGGCAGCTTGCTAGTGGGGCTTGACTGGCTGCGGCTAGGGTCCTGGGCACGTGTGCGTGATTGGGCCAAAGTGTTTGTACAACTACTTCGTGCGTTTGCATCCGCGCCGAGGTATATTATGCTCCGCAGGCCGCGAAAGAGAGCCCGTTACCTGGACCCCTACTCGCGCGGGTAGAGCGAAACTGAGCAGCCTGGTATGAGACGTACAGGATTGTTCGATGACCGGTCACAGACTCGGAATAAGCCGGGCAAGGCCTCTCAAGGTCGGGACTGGGCTACTCGTACAGTATGCATGGTAGTTGGTACAAATGTTGTACAATGTTGTTTTAGAATTTTGTTGGGTTTCCGGTACTACTACTGTACTATTGTTACTGCTGTACTAGCACAGTACAGTACGACGTCCTCGAAGGAATGTTTCTTGGCGAACAGCAACAGCAACCTTCTTCTTCGTTTTTTATTTTATTTTTTTTTACTCGATTTTCTTTCATCGACACCATAGCTAGCCCTTGGCTAGATAATCCTCAAAATAGAATGAAGACCATCACCAGGAGCTCCTTCGATCGCGGAACATGCCTATCTTGTATGTAAGTGTACGCTTCGTGTTGTTTATGTCGTTAATTTTTGCTCGGTTCATAGTTCATGGTGAGTGTATCATGGGTACTTGACCTTTGGTATACCTGTGGCGGGGTAATTCAGTAAATGCCTTCCAGATGTTGGCTTGTTCGCGCGCACGGTCTGGAAAATATCCTTGTATCCTGTACCATCGAGAGCTCCTACCGGAATTCCATCGAGGAATATCTTGAAAGTGTACAGTGCTTCGTGTTGCCTGTTGGCCGATGTTAGTTTTTGCTGGGTTCATAGTTCATGATGAGTGCACCATGGGTACTTGACCTTTGGTATACTTGTGGCGGGGTAAATGCCTTCCTAATGTTGGCTGGTCCACGCGCGCGGTCTGGAAAATATCTTTGAAACTGGAACAACTGGATGCACCATATACATGTATGTAGATGACATGGTATAAAAGAAGCCACTTCTTGTCGAATGAACCTTTCCTGTAATCCCAGAACCAAGATGCCTCGTGCTGCACGAGGTACGGGCAGGCCGGCGCTTGCTCCGCCGAGGGGGGGGGGGGGGTAAAAAGAGTGTACGGGCAACTAGGAAAGCTGACTGGCCTCGTCATACCCTCATCCCCCCAGAAAGTTAGTAAATTATTATTTGTGTTCAGTGTCATGCCACACTAGCAGTCCGTCCGAAAACTCTTTGATTGGTTATTGATATTATGATATTGCTGTCGGTTGATGGTGCACAGAGCAGCTGGCTGACAGCATCAGGAGTGGCAGGGGTGGTGGCAGCAGCAGCAGCAGCAGTAGCAGCAGTGGCAGCAGAAGAGAAGATTGCAATGAGCCTCATGAGCCTGCGCGGGCGGAGGAGCACGCCTTGATTGCTGAACCTCTACCGTAAGAGCATATTTCATTGGTTTGTGCATGTACATGTATATACCTAGTAAATTGCGGTATTGCTACAAATTACTTTCATTAGTTTACAGGAATTTTAACTCATAAAATATGGTTGCCTATCATGCTATATTATTGTATTCTGTGTGTATTCGTGTTGAACATTGCATGCAGAATCGTCCACATCGAAATGCAGGATCCGTTTCTTTACTTTGTGGATAACCTGAAAAGGGAACAAGGATACTTCATACTGCCATTTGACCCCCATATCATAGCATGCCAGGACCATAAAGATGGTGGTGCTCTCGTGGCACACTATGTATTGTTGACGCAGCATCGCTTTGCCGAGCATGTGCTGTACGGGTGCTCCTGCACTATGGCAGTGGCACAAGCTCAACGGCTGGATGCGCTATCCGGCGACGGCACTGCCACCAGTGCATTCCTCAAGGAAGAGGAAAAACTGTACTGCTGGCATGCAAAAGCTATCGACAAGCTTGTGTCTTCAATTGTGAGTGAAGCGAGTCCACCAGACTGCCGTGTTGTGATCGTGCGGACAAGTCCTCTCCTGGGGTGCGTTGCGGCTGGGGTAAGAACGATGAACTGTCGATTTTTGCTGTGCTTCGCGCGAGGTGTTGCTCTTATTGTCAAACCTCTCCTGTTCACCAACTCAAGTGTGAGGCTCATCTTAAGGAGCAGTGCCAACTGTTATGTTCTGTTGTTGTTGTTGCATCAGACTGGATATGGAATCGTAGCAATTCGGCGCAACCGTACAGCCTGCTTGGTGTGCCATGCCTTTGTGCATGCATGCAAGCACGTAAAAGCCTTTAAAGAGGTATGTTCAATTATGCCTGTGGGCAAGTCGAACTTTTAGTTGTTGCATTTCAAAGCATTGTATGCATCCCTTCCTCTTACGTGTGCTTCGCGACAGACTTGATTGGTCCTGGTTTGCGACCAACTGTGTTCGTATTTATGATTTTGCATGTTTAGTGGCAACATGATCAGGCAATTGAGCCTGAAGAGGATGGTGATTGCGAAGGTGGTGATACAGAGCCTATGGGCCCTGCCTGTATAAGCTCCGAGAAGATTCCGTATCCCCTGACGTCAGAACTGAAAGAAAAATTCTTGGGGTAAGTCCTCTGAAATAGGAAGAAATGCCAGAAGATGTGAATGAATTGTCTACATTTCATGAGTATTGCAATGCAATTCCAACATAGCAGTTGTCCGTTAACATCTTTCTCCGTGTCATTTAATTTTCTTTCTTGCCATGTGTACTATCAACTGTTACAAGGATGGCAGATCTAAACGTCCATTTCTGCTTGTGCCTTCTTTGGGTGGATCATGTGCCAATGGATTTTCATGGAGTGAGAGTGATCCAGTCCAGCAGGGTTGGCTTGTATCAAATTGCCGTCTTGTTACTATCGGAGCTGTTCTCCAATTTGGGTACAATGACAAAAGGGAACAGCAAAAGTGTGCAGGTAAGGCTGGAATTTGCTCGTGATTTTGGAGGGATTGGTTTTCACAATGTAACCGTTACTCTTTACTATGAGATATAATAACAGTTCACGCTATTTTCCACTATCCAAACAACCTAAAGCGTTTATTATTAGTAGTAGTATTCTTTATTCTGTTGTTGTTGTTGTTGTTGTTGTTGTTGTTGTTGTTGTTGTTGTTGTTGTTGTTGTTGTTGCTGCTGTTTTCTCTGCTTTCAATTTTAAGTGTACTTCACACAGTGCACTGGTCCCTGTGCATGCCGCAAGACGTATGATGGACAAGTGGATGGCTACCTGAATGTGAATAACAAGTATGCAGTTGACTATGAACTGCTGATGCTCCAGTTGCACTTATTTCTGGAAGGTCGCAGTCCTCTGGCAACAACCCATCGGTATGTCTCTCCAATGGATTGCATAGTATATATTGTGGGTAGATGTAAAATATGACTAGCATATTTATGTCCATTGGTCGTATGTGCAGGAACTCTCGTTAAGAGATGTTGAAAGGCATGTGTGTTTCACTGTTCTTCTTCCCTATTTTTTACAGGGCCATCTCCCTGAATCATTCCCACTTGTCTGGCAGTTGTGTTGTGCCCTATTATGTACTTCGGAGAGCCTGGGACACTTTCCTTCGGCTATTGGATATCGACTGGCAGGGTAAGAATGATATCATGTGTATTTCATTTTAGACTTGGTGTTCGTGTTGTGATCATCTTTGCTTTTGACGTAATGCCATCTGGTTGTGCTACTTTTACCATGCAGGTCTGTTTTTTTGTCCAATCTGCAAGTCTGAACCGAAGCGTATTGTTTGTGATGGAACAGCCCTTGGCTTTCGTCAGGATCTATTGCGTGCTAGAAGTGAGCCAGCAGCTACACAGCAACGTGTTGGAACAACGCATGCTGATCGAGTTTTCATATACAAGCCTGCTGCTAGGTAAGACTCAGACCAAAGGTGGTGAATTCATCAGTTTCATGAACAATTCTTCGGGTGTCATTGCTCAACATGTGGGCCTCAACCAGCGAAAACAGCCCTTAGGGTCAAATTTTTCAAAATTCCTTTTTGGTTAGAAATTTGTTGAAACACATCTACGGAAGGACCTCAGCCAAGAAAAAGTTCAATATTCCGATTCAAAACGGGTGTATACACCAATATACTAGGTGTACTCCAAATTGGTGCAATGTATGTATACGATGTATGTGTACAATAAATATTCAGCATTCTAAGGTGGGTAGGCAGCTTGAATACCTTTGAAATAGTGAAGTAAGCAGCTAGAATGACAAAGAATAGCGGAAGAGTGCGGAGACATGGTCGACTTATTTGCAGCTGCATCCTGCGTGGAGTCGTTCCGCAATGTCTTCCATTTCTTCCTGCGCAGCTGACGACACGATGTCGCTGCCATCACTAGCCCCAGACTCAGAATTTATCTCAGGTGATGACTCCTCATCTTCCGACTCTGACGAGTCATCGATCACCTTGAGCCACAACGCAGCAGGAGATGACGGCTGCGATTCCGCCTCGCTGTCGACATCGATGTCGGAACCAAAGAACGTCTCATCCTCTCTCTGAACTTCAGCGGCTACTACTCCACTCCCCACCAGGCTCGAGCTAGCTGTACACAATGACTGCCGCGTGTGCTCTGCGAACAGCTCTGGCGTCCGCAGCCATCGCAACAAGATCAAGGAACACTTGAGTCGCAACTCGACACCACTTCAACTAACTTCAAATAAATTCAAGCAAGGAGATCAAGAAGAACTCGTCGCGCTGTTCGCAGCGCGATCAAAAAATCGTTGAACGTAACAAATCGACCTTTTTCTTGAAAAAATTACGAAACCTCTAAGGGTCGTTTTCGCTGATTGCGGCTCATGTACTGATCACTTTAGTAAGACTAACATGCAATCTTTTCAATTGTCTTGCTATACCCATCTTTCAGGAAACTTCTACTTCAGTACAGTGGCGTGCATCCGCAGCAGAAGCGCCGAAGACCTGGCACACCACCTGTTCCCTTGGGCAAGGATGAGTTCTTTCAGTTGTGTGCCCTGCTTCTGATGGAGGTCAACGGTTTGCCAGTGAGGCAACTGCTTCTGGACAGCCACGGTCCGGAGTCAACGGAGTTTCTTTGTCCGTCTTACATCCAAGAATTTGTTGAAGGTAAGTAAAGTCTGATATGCATTCTGGCAGGAAGTGTGATTCTCCTATGTTCCCTTTATGTAAAGTTGACGTCTGAAACACTGTATATTCTGGTTTCTCACAATATCTTTTGGACACTTAGGCATCAGCCGGAATGGACCCATAACCGGCTTTGTTCAGGTTGTGGATGGCGAGGTCATTCCTCTCCTGGAAGACATCACCAAAGGCCTCCCCATCCGGAGCACGGAATTTGCACACAAGTTCCGACTTGTGCAGGAGAACTGCCCTGCTGTCAGCCAGCTGCTGGCAAGTATGCCAGGAAATTCGCTGGACCTCAATGTGGCAGCCGTGGTAAAACAGGTATGTACTTTCAACTGTCATCTTAGGGAAGCAGGTTGTTGAATTCTTTCCTACCATTGGACCCTTTGTATGTCAAAAGCCAAATATTTTCTTTTTACTATTTTGCTCTGCTTTTTGTAGGTGTTGGACTTTATGAAGAAGTCCATCCCTGTTGTACCATGCTCCGTGCCCTTCCCGCCAGCGACAGAGGAGCCAGACATACCTGGGCAACAAGGCACTACTGCCTTTTTCCCAAACTTACCGCGCCACCATGGGTATGTTCACAATCCCCATACTATGTAGTCGAGATGGCAAAGTATGTAGTGCATTAGAATGCTGTCATGTTGTATTTCGTGTATACAGTGCGTCAATTCCTCTTTTCTGTTTTTTTTTCTATTTTGTAGTGCGAGCACATACGGCATTGACAAACAGCGCTCGCCACGGTCGTGTAGTGCACACGTTGACTCGTGTAATAAACATTACAGCGGGCACCCCACACTGACACCTGGGGTGTTCACCCTGTACTGCCCTCATGGCATCTGTTACGGGTTTGAGGTGAGCCATACTGTGTTCGGCCTTGACTTTACAACACCCATTCTCACCATAGATGGTCTTAGGTTCTGAAATTGACTTGCGTTCCTGATGGTGATTATGTGTATTGTTGTTTTGCCTCAACATTTGTGCAGGTGTCTACATGTCATGTTCAGGGAACCACATTTTTTCAACAGCTCAGTGTTTGCTGTGGACAGGCTGCATTGGGACAACCATGTTGGGTGAGTGATACAGAGATCAATGTTGCATTTACAAGGACCATACATGGCAATGAGGAGCCGTACATTGTTATATTGGTGTGAATTTGTCTTGTGTCATATGAATAAATCAAGTGTCAAAGGTATAACTATGTTGAGCTAATTAGTCTGAGCATTTTCTTTTTTCTTCTTTTTTGTATTGAATAGCTGTTCCGAGGGTTACAACCTGAACATCTTCAACAACAAGTACGACATTGCGAAGATCAACTCTCAGGTGAACGAACAGGCAAATGTTGGTCTGGGAAAACTTCGAGCGTCGCTAGCATATATGGCCCAGGAAAAGTTTATGTTTCATGCTGGACTGTACTTAGGTCTGCGAAACAGGCAGAAACAAGCTTTGTTGGGTGCATCCACTTAATTCCTTCCGTACTTTGGAATTTATCAGAATATCGCTGACAAAGAACCATGCACCATCTTATAGTTTGTGCTTGCGAGTGATTACTCTGTATCTGTATTGTAATCGTAACTTTCTATTGCATATTCTCAAAACTTGATTATTCACACTTCTAAGTCATAATTATCATACTTCAGTACAATCACTTTAAAAACAAAGTGTTCTGCTGGATAAATCTAAAGAGATGGTGGCGTGTTCAATTTTACGTGGACGAGTCCAGAGATATCGCACTTTCTGATTGCTTGTTATTTAGTTAATATTACATTTAAATCCAGAAGTACATTTTATTATGAGACTTTTTGTTCTTTCATTGGCATGATAAGAATCTTAATTGATGTAAGCTAGTGGCCTACCTATATACATCATTGTCCTTTTGTTCATAATCTTGCTTGATACACACTTCAAAGTATGTAGATAAATCTTCCAATCACACTGCATTTTTTAGCTCACCTGAGATTGTTTTTATTCTATGTACACTGTCACGGTCTCAATCAACCTAACCTACGCTGAATAGTAACAACACTTTTAAGACTACAAAGTGTATAACCTTTTAATACAGCAGTTGATTATAGGAAATATAAACCTGTATACCATGGTATACAAACCGAGGCGAAGCCGAGGTTTGTATAATTGGTTTATATTTCCCATAACTGAGTAGGTTATATTATGCTTATACTGAGCTGATGCCCTAGTCTGATCCAAAAATAAATAAAAAAGGAGTTTATATACCAGTCTATATTCTTCATCGAAGTACCATGTTATAATTATGGAAAATACAAGTCTGAAGTGTTGTGTGGGGAGAGATGGGAGTTTGTATACAAGCTCAGTATAATGGTTTATATTTCCCACATAGTGAACTGAGTAGGTTATATGCTTATACTGAGTTAGTCTGATCTTAAAAAGGAGTTTATACAGATACCAGTCTATAATCTAGTGAGCAGTTTATATATGACGTATGCAACAAAGAGACCTTATTTCAAGTGTTTCAGTCCAGTCTACTCTAATGATAGCTTGCATAGACCCTGGTCCTACCGGTAGGACCATCATGACAGGTGAAACAACGGAGTCGATAATATCAACAGACCAGCCGATAAGGTCGATTTGATAGAAGAAAACCCTTATCAACTCTGATGTACAATTCTGCTAGGTACGTGTACATCAAGTATACGTGTACATCAAGTAGTTCAAGCACTTGTCCTGCAAGTCCTGGTTCAGGTCCTGGCAAGTATACCTGGTATACATGCTCATGACAAAGGACTCCATTTCGCTCCCACCCACAGCCAAGGGCGGTGCAAACTCATACGACACGGGTCTGTTTGAACCTACAGTATGGGTCCCCAACCATGCATTGTACTGATATGATACACATGATCCGGACCCACACACACACATACACACATGCAGACATACATAGATACACACATGCAGACACACACACACACACATGAGTCACACATGACCCGGACCCCCCCCCCCCCCACACACATGCAGACATACATAGATACACACATGCAGACACACACACACACATGAGTCACACATGACCCGGACCCACACACACACATGCAGACATACATAGATACACACATGCAGACACACACACACACAGTCACACAGTCCACACACACACACACACACACATGACCCGGACCCACACACACACACATGCAGACATACAGTAAAACCTGTGACTACCGACCACCCCTTGGTGCCAGCAAAAGCGGTCTTTAGTAGCAGGTGGTCTTTAGTTAGAGGTTTGCACCATGCGACCATATATGGATCCCATTATATGATATGTATATCAAAATGCAGCTAATACAATTCCCCAAGACTTGCGCAATGCCATTCTTATTTCAGGCTAAACAACACTTGGAGAGAAAGACGGAGAGATGGAGAGAGACAGAGAGAGACAGAGAGAGAAGATTAATTTTTTTGCGGACATCAAATTCAGCTCCTACTTCTGAAACCAGGAGTCAAACGTTCCCTGTGGAAGTTTCGTTTTGCGCTGGGCTTCAAATTTGTTCATGCGATCAATTGTACCGACTGTCCTTGTTGCGACTTCTCGATTGCTTGAACGCGATTCTCCAGCATCAGGACCTTGCGGTGCTGCTTTGTTTCTGGATTCCTTGATGCCATCGTCGATTCGTCTGTATGACTGGGGTGACAGAGCTGCTCAGTCTTCGTTTCTCCTCCGATTAGTAACATCGATCAGAGAGCGCTTTCGATACCCTCTCCAAGACGTTTAGTATCATGTTTATTCTTGACAGCGCTTGAAATTCTGACAGGTGTAGTGAAGTCCACACCGACTCCACAGTCAAAAATAACCTGCGTTCATTTCTTCAACTGTAGTATCGAAAGATGCCTTTCAGGACCACGGAAAATCATCAAAATTTCAAGAAAGAGCTTCGAACAACATTTGATTTCCTACATCGCGGTCGCTAGTTACGGGTCAAAAATCGTCTTTGGGACAAGAAAAGGCGGTCGCTGGTCGCGTTCAGCAGGTAGTCTCTAGTCACAGTGCATTTTGAATGTGAGACCGTCCGTGCCTGGCGAAGTGGTCGGTAGTACCAGGCTGGTCGCTAGTCACGGTGGTCTTTAGTTACAGGTTTTACTGTACATAGATACACACATGCAGACACACACACATGCAGACACACACACACATGCAGACACACACACACATGCAGACAGACAGACACACACACACATGCAGACACACACACACATGCAGACAGACATAGATACACACATGCAGACACACACACACACACACATGCAGACAGACATAGATACACACATGCAGACACACACACATGCAGACACACACACACATGCAGACAGACAGACAGACAGACACACACATGCAGACACACACACATGCAGACAGACAGACAGACAGACAGACACACACACACACATGCAGACACACACACATGCAGACAGACAGACAGACAGACACACACACACACACACACATGCAGACACACATACTCTCTCATACATGCACACGCAGATCCAAATGAACCATGGGCAGTGATTTACCACTTGGCTGTACCAGACACGTACACCATATTTATCCAAGCACAGTTCTATGAAGCAATTGAAAGAGTGATGGGCAAGGCAGAAACGCCAACATTTTCTACACATGAAACAGTCCAAAAAAAGCCAAGTATGCACATTATTGAGACACTATAAATTACATGTCGGCTTCATCCATGATACTATCACTGCCAAGTTCAGGTCCACCTGAATCTAGATCACCATTTATTAGTTCACCTTGAAGTCCACCTGCATTTTTTAAATCATAACACAGACCAAACAACAACAATAACTCATGCACGCGAAGACAAAAAAGCAAACTGCACCACACAACGAGACAAAGCAACTAGCAACATACAACCATGTACGTTTTAGCATAAAAACTCAGGAGTACTGGATAATGTCTAAAATTGTGCATGCACTGTAATTTGCAGTATTTGAACCGGCATGCCTGACTCAGTTCACCATTACCTTGTTCAGCACTCTCCAGCTCGGACTCTTGTGCATCTGGTGCAGATGTCTCATTATATGAACCCTACAATTTGAAAAAAGAAAGATTACAAAGACAGAACAATCGACGTCCACGTCTACCAACTAGATGGACGGATATCACACACACACACACACACACACACACACACACACACACACACACACACACACACACACACACACACACACACACACACACACACACACACACACACACACACACACACACACACACACACACACACACACACACACACACACACACACACACACACACACACACACACACACACACACACACACACACACACACACACACACACACACACACACACACACACACACACACACACACACACACACACACACACACACACACACACACACACACACACACACACACACACACACACACACACACACACACACACACACACACACACACACACACACACACACACACACACACACACACACACACACACACACACACACACACACACACACACACACACACACACACACACACACACACACACACACACACACACACACACACACACACACACACACACACACACACACACACACACACACACACACACACACACACACACACACACACACACACACACACACACACACACACACACACACACACACACACACACACACACACACACACACACACACACACACACACACACACACACACACACACACACACACACACACACACACACACACACACACACACACACACACACACACACACACACACACACACACACACACACACACACGTACACACGTACACCATAACAAAAAATGAAACTGCAGTGAGTGCTACCTACCTGAAGGGCAGGTGCATCAACATCACCATCTAGTTCAACTTGAAGTCCACCTACATTTACATGACACAGACAAAACCAACCACGAGAACACCAAAAAGCTTAACAACACCACACAACGAGACAAAGCAACAAGCAACATACAACCATGACAATGTTTTAGTATAAGAACTCAGGAGTACTGGACATTCATAAGTTGAGGGAATGGAAAAGGGAAAAGTGAAGACAAAAATTGACTCGTGTGTCACCACCAGGAATCGGATCAGGGACCTTGCCTTCAGGCCAGCGATGCTGTCATTCCAGACTACTGGATAATGTCTCATTGTGCATGCACTGTAATTTGGAATATTTGAACCGGCATGCCTGACTCAGTAGTTCACCATTACCTTGTTCAGCACTCTCCAGCTCGGACTCTTGTGCATCTGGTGCAGATGTCTCATTATATGAACCCTACAATTTGAAAGGAGAAAGATTACAAAGACAGAACAATGGACGTCCACCAACTAGATGGATGGACATCACACACACACACACACACACACACACACACACACACACACACACACACACACACACACACACACACACACACACACACACACACACACACACACACACACACACACACACACACACACACACACACACACACACACACACACACACACACACACACACACACACACACACACACACACACACACACACACACACACACACACACACACACACACACACACACACACACACACACACACACACACACACACACACACACACACACACACACACACACACACACACACACACACACACACACACACACACACACACACACACACACACACACACACACACACACACACACACGAACACACACACGCACACACACACACACACGCACTCTCACACACACACGCACGCACACCTTTGACCTTTGACCTTTGACGCCCATCGCCGGAGGCGATGATAGCAATGCTTTGGCAGAAGCCATAGCAACTTGTGCTGGGATTACACCATTCAACAGCTTGCAAGGCTGAAGAATTGACCGTCACTATTCAGCCTGGTCTACACCATACAGCTATTTGGAGTGACATTTTCTGGCCAGTGAATCCCTTTTTTGGTCTTTTCATTTTTCATTTTTTTTTTTTTTTTTTTTTTTTCCCGCACACACATCACACCACATACTCCGGCATGCACTGGCTGTTGGTAACCACCCAGGAGAATGAAAGAAAAGTCAGGAAGAGTCTGAGAAAGAGAAGAAAGACGTGTGTGACCATAATCGTCGGGAATCGAACCCGCAATCTATCGATTGGAAATCGCTGCACATACCACTGCACCATATGGGACACACACGCACACACACACACACACACACACACACACACACACACACACACACACACACACACACACACACACACACACACGTACACCATAACAAAAAATGAAACTGCAGTGAGTGCTACCTACCTGAAGGTCAGGTGCATCAACATCACCATCTAGTTCAACTTGAAGTCCACCTACATTTACATGACACAGACAAAACCAACCACGAGAACACCAAAAAGCTTAACAACACCACACAACGAGACAAAGCAACAAGCAACATACAACCATGACAATGTTTTAGTATAAGAACTCAGGAGTACTGGACATTCATAAGTTGAGGGAATGGAAAAGGGAAAAGTCTGAAGACAAAAATTGACTCGTGTGTCACCACCAGGAATCGGATCAGGGACCTTGCCTTCAGGCCAGCGATGCTCTGACCACTGAGCTATGGTGTAGCTGTCATTCCAGACTACTGGATAATGTCTCATTGTGCATGCACTGTAATTTGGAATACTTGAACCGGCATGCCTGACTCAGTTTACCATTACCTTGTTCAGCACTCTCCAGCCCTGACTCTTGAGCATCTGGTGCAGATGCATCTTCATATGAACCCTACAATTGAAATAGAAAGATTGCAAAGACAGAAATTCCATGTCAAATGTGTGACACTACGGGCTGAAATGAAAACTCCAAAAGCTGCAGACCTTGTGCCATCTGGCAAACAATCATGGAATTAATTGACAACAGAAGAGACAGGGTGATGATTACATTTATTACTGTATTTCCCCCCGAATATAAGTCGAACCTTTTTACACTTAACTTCTCAGTCAAAGAAGGGGGTGCGACTTAAAATCGAGTGTGACATTCTACTAATGTGAGCATATTGAAGCATTATGGCACAAACCTGAAATCGAGAGCGACTTATAATCGGGGAAATACCGTATGTTATCTTCCAGTTCTCCTCTAAATGAAATTGCAGTAAGAGATACTTACTTACCTTAAGACCAGAAGCAAGACGCATGAGGTGGCCGACTTCGGTGGAAATGTCACCATGAGCGTCATTGACCTCCCTGAACCGGAGAAGATTGCCAATCTTCACCTGCTTGCTGGAGGCATCCGATATCCGCACTGCACAGGCTGACATTTCGTCTCCTAACCTCTGCAGACGTGTTTGTTGCGCTTCTGTACAACAAATTATAAAATGTCCACCCACAGCTTAATTGATACTCAGTATCTGCAAGTTGTCTTTTTCAATTTCATCCTTGACATTAAAAAATTCAACAGATCCATGCCAACTTACTGGAACAGCCAGTGTTCATGATGATGCCATGGTGCTCACAGCACGCTTGCAGACAGAGCTCCAGGCACTGCCGGTACGGCCTCTCTGCCGTATCAATCCTGGCATCTGCACACACATTTGCGTAGGGAAGAATGTGGTGCGGCCACCAAACGGGTGCACACTCCTTGTTTCCCCATCTAAAAAAACGAAACAAAAAAGATATGACCATACCAATTTATTTTTAATTGCTACAGACAGGGAAAATAATTTTTCGAACGCCCAGTTGTGACAATTCCTACAAGCACAGGTCCTGCATACAATTGCATGTCACGTGTTAACAATGACAATGACTTTTGTACTGCACGTACCGTGGTTGGTTGCGACCAACAGATGTTCGAACATAGTCGGCAACCCAGCTTCGCAGAACCTTCTCTGGCATATCCTCCAACTTTGCAGGCAGAGGAGTGAAGATGGGGGCTGAGAGGGGCAGAGTGCCTTCCACCGCCTTCTCGGATAGAAGGTGGCGGTGTTCCAGCATGCTGGACCCAAGGGATCCAGCTGCCAGAATTTTCCCCTTGATGGTTGCCATCGCCCCACCATGGCAGCCAAGATCGTTGATTTGCTTCATCTTGGAAGCCACTGCCTCCCAAAGCCGCTTCAATTTAGCATCATTAGCCTTCTTCGTTTTGCCGAGAGAAGCCATCTGAACACCATTTTAGAAACACGTCACAGTAACCAAACAATAGTAATACAAATGCTCAGTAAAGACAGTAAAGAGACAGCCGAGAAAATGTGTGCTGGTTTGTGCTCTATGTTTCCCACAGGCTACCCTTTTCTGAAGTTGGGTAGGTTTGCGGTTCTGCCACAAGGCTATGGGCTCCACTCCACTTCGGCTCCACATTCTTCGACTCAGGACTCTACTGTATACTTTAGAGTCCACCAACTAAACCAGATTTTGAACAGTCAGAAGTGCACAATTTAGCACCAGACCACCCAGGAGTACTGAGACATTCCACGGCATGAAAATGAGCTTGAGCACTGCTCGATAGCGCTAACCAACGGCCTTCCAACTTACTTTGAAGGTTCATAGATAGCAGTGATAATTAGGTCCAAAGGTTGCGACTCGAGTTTCACGCATACACTTTCACCTGGCAATAAACTCGAATAAAGCCTCGTTCTTCCTTATTTGAAAGGAAGCTCTGCCCTTTTCGGTAGTGAATACAGTACTGCAGTGTGAACAGAGGACTAACAACCCTACAGTGCACTTACAGTTCTAATGAAGAAGATCCGAAGTTGAAGACACGAAGAAGAACACCTTAGCTCCGGCAGCAAATGGTACTAAAGCAGAAAAACGAGAAGAACACCAAAGGGAAAAAAACGCAGTTGCTTTCAAGGATATTTTCCAGCCTGCGCGCGTGGACAAACCAACATTAGGAAGGCATTTACCCCGCCACAAGTATACCAAAGGTCAAGTACCCATGGTGCACTCATCATGAACTATGAACCCAGCAAAAACTAACATCGGCCAACAGGCAACACGAAGCACTGTACACTTTCAAGATATTCCTCGATGGAATTCCGGTAGGAGCTCTCGATGGTAGTAGTAGTAGTAGTAGTATTCTTTTATTTTCCATCGGAAGCCTCAACAGTGATGAACACAACTCTTAAGAGGGCCGATAACAGGGTAGAGGGGTGTGGGGTGAGAAAAAAAAATAATAATAATAAGAGATATTTAAACTAAACTAAACTGATACTTGGAACAATAAAGCAGCAGTAAGCAGTAAGCAGTAAACACAGGTATACAATACAAGCGATGCAGATCAATGAGGCCGTTTGCTGAAAAGAAGATCTAAATACTTCTGAAAAGACGCTGCGTCTTTAAGCATGGTCATAATGGGATAGTGCAAGAATTAAAGAGATGTTGTTTTTAAAAACGAATTTAAACTAGGAACGCAGTAAACACAGTTATACAATACAGGCGGTGCAGATCAATGAGGGAGTTTGCTGAAAAGAAGATCAAAATACTTCTGAAAAGACGCTGCGTCTTTTAGCATGGTCTGAAGGTGCTTAGCAAATGTAGTGCGGTGCTGGGTGCGCCACTCCACAGGCAAAGAATTAAAGAACAGGGCAGCACGATTTGAAAAGGAATTGACACCGTCAGTCGTCCGGAATTTAGATATTGCAATAGCAGCATTAAAAGAGCTTCTTGTTGTCCTAGGGCCGGTTGAAACTTGAGGGAAAAGGTCCGTCAGATTTGGGAGAGGGAAAACGACATGATTAACATGGATAAATTTAGCAATGCTACGAATAAGGTAATGTTCAAACGGATCAATCGACAATCTAGCTAACAGCGGCATGACGTCCTCTTGTAGTTTCGAGCCACAAGCAGCGCGTACAGAACGACGATAAACGGACGAGAGTCGCTGTCGGTCCTTGGCGGATAGCTTCATTGCAAAGCAAGAGCAGCAGTATAATAAGTCAGGCAGGATAACCGAGAGGATAAACTGCCGTGTTGCCTTCAAACTTAGTTGCCGAAAACACCGTCGAAGAGCGCCAATTTTCGTGCAAGTCTTCCTAACGATAAAGTCTATGTGACCAGACCAAGAAACATCACTGTCTACAATGACTCCCAGGATTCTCGTGCTAGACACTTGAGTCAGAGGCTGTTGGTTAAAAACGATTGGAGTTGAGAGGGGTTGAGAAGACTTAGAAATCATCAAAGTTACAGTCTTTGTTGTATTAATGCGCAGCCCAAGCTCGTCTAGATCCACAGAAATTGCAGATAACGAATCAGTAACGGTAGCGACGGCCTCAGCTTGTGTACGTCTGCTGGCATACAACGTCATGTCGTCAGCGAACATCGGGAGCTTGCAAGAAAAGGCCTCTGCTGTCAATGGGAGCTTCCGTACATATATGTTAAATAGCACCGGACCCAGAATGGTGCCCTGTGGCACGCCACTAGTGATTGCCACCAACGGAGATGTTCCAGTGTGGGTAACCACCCGCTGTTGTCTGGCACAAAGGTATGATCGGAACCAGGCCAGGGCCACTCCCGAAATACCGACAGCTGCGAGAGCAAGAAGAAGCTGTTGATGCTTCACCATATCGAACGCTTTATTCAAATCAATACAGACAACCGCCGTATGCAGTCCAGCGTCGCGCGAGACAAGCCAGTCGTTCGTAACCTTGGTGAGAAGCTGTCCGGTAGAACGGTGCTTCCGAAAGCCAAACTGGTCCACATGGAATGGGCAACGATCATTAAAAAAAAGATGTATACGAGAAAACACAAGCCCCTCCAGGAGCTTGGCTAGGATAGATGTTAAAGACACTGGGCGGTAGTTAGAAGGGCAGTCGCGGGGGCCTTGAGTTGACTTCAGAATTGGTGTAATGTTTGCAATTTTGAACAAGGATGGGAATTGACCAGACGAGAGGGAAGTGTTGAATAAGATAGCAAGTGATAGAGCAATTACGTCTTTTGATATTTTAAGTAGACACGGAAGAATGCCGTCCGGTCCAGGGGCTTTATTACTTTGGAGGTCACCGATCCGAAGCTTCACCTCTGCTACTGTAACGGCTGAAAACGTAGTAAGGTCGTCGGATTTAGCAGGTCCCATTGGGAGCTTGTAATTCGCTTCCTTATCTGTGACAATCGAGTGAAAATAGTCGTTCAATCGCTCAGGTGGGATGGTAACCGTTTGCTTCGGAGAGGAACGCTTTGTGATCATATTCAAGGCTTTCCAGAACTGCCGAGGCTCCCGTTCATACCGCTGACACTGGTCTGAAAAGTAAAGATTCTGTAGGTGTCGATACAAGTTATTGCACTGGTTGCGCAGCCGCTTGAATTGTACAGATAGGCTCTCGTCTCGAAAGTTAGTAGCTTTTAGTTTCTTGAAGACCGATTTGCGCTTTCTAATCAAGGCAAGGAGGGGCGAGGTCATGAACGGGCAATTTTTCCGACGGGACTTCCTGTGTTTCCTGGTTACGTACGGTGCGATGATATCAAGCACAGCATTGACTTTCCCTGTCCACTCGTCCAACATCAGGTCTGGGGTACGGGATGTAAAGATATGAAGATCGGAGGACAGCAGCATATCGCAGAAACGCTGAGCGTTGAAGTTCCGGTAGTCTCTGCGTGT